AAATTCAATTTAATTTTACATTATTATTAATACAATTTAGAGTACTTTTTAAAAAAACGAAAACTAATCATAATGAAATAGAAAATAAAGAAGCTGTATAGAAGGTTTCATTAGGCTGTAGCCAAAAATAAGATCTAATTCTCGTCCATTTAAAAAAGTTAGTATAGTAATAACTTCTCAAAGCCCGATAAAATCAACTTAATACTAAGCTACTTTTTTTAAACGGACGAGAATTAGATCGTATTTTTGGCTACAGCTCTATTGAAACCTTCTATACAGCTTTTTTTATTTCATTATGATTAGTTTTTTTAAAAAAGTACTCTAAACTGTATAAATAATGTTAAATTAAATTGAATTTATTAGCAAATCAGACGAACTTCTGCCTATGATACCATAATACTTAGACACAAAGTTTAGTACAAAATACATTATTTTTACATAAATAGCAAAAATGTTATCTTGTATAGTTGTTTGTTGGATTACATTTGGTCGCATTGTGCTGTAACATTTCTTAAAGGGATAAAAGTGAATAATGTCAGGATAAAAGTGACAAGGATAATAATGTCGGGATAAAAGTGACAAGGATAATAATGTCGGGATAAAAGTGACAAGGAGTATAATGTCGGGATAAAAGTGACAAGGAGAATAATATCAAGGGATCCAATTCATTGGGTACAGTTATCTAAATTTTAACGTGATAGAAACTATGTAAAACCATTTTGGATGAGCTTTCAATTTACGAATAACTTGCTTGAGAACAAATTTATGTACAATGGTTATAATTTATTTTATCTTCTCAATGTTTTCAACTTTAGTTACTGCAACATATGAATGACCCTACCATTTAAACTTTAGATTTTATATGTACTTGGAGAGCTGTCAAGCAATGATTATATTTGGAACATTTTTGATCATTTTTTTTCCAGCTACTTATTGTTAACTACGTCTCGATAGTTTAAGTTGTAAGGAATAAAAAACTAACGAATAATTTGAAGTCATTAAATAAAAATAAAAAAATAACATTAAAAATTAATTTTATATACTTTAAAAACTTTTATTTCTCTACCTAATTGAGGGCTCTTTATATCGATAGTAGTACATATGTAAATATATCGTAAAATGTGAAAATGAGCACACAATTTTTTTTTAATTAATAGGTTTGCTTATTCACTAGTAATATGAAAATCGATAGCATATAATTCCGACAATATCGTGTAGTCACACTATGAGTGTGCTTATTTCAGTATTTGCAGAACATAAATTTTTATTATAGATGTGCTTATTTTCCGTATTACGGTATACGGTATATCAATTTAAAATCATTAGGAGATACAGAGACTGATAACGATAATTTTCTGGATGTACTAAATACTGTAAGAGGTTGGTGATACCATTCGAAGCATCAATTACTAACGCTAACATTTCTAATTGAGATATAACTTTAGAGAATTCAAGCCAATTAATTCAATCAAATTAAAAAGGTTTAGTCACTTTTTTCAAAGTTTTTTCAGTGATTTGAACGAAATTACATAAATCGAAGGATGTTTTATGACACGATTGTTGATTGTTGTATCGCGTATTACTTCATCGTCATAAGTTTTATCCGACTGACCAATCAAATTACGTAATTTCTGGTACAAATTTTACGTAATTTAGCATTTAATAATTTAACGTAAATATAAAACTAACTATATAGAAAGGTGAAACAAATTCAGAAATTTGTGTAAATTTGAGTAATTAATTTTTACCATTATCTCTAACATTATCTAGCATTAAATAAAATCCTGATTTTACTGGTTATTTCGTTTTTAGCAGTTGAAGAATTAATGCATTGTCAGAAACATTTCTATAATAATAAAAGTTAGTGAAACAATTGATCTAACTTTATCCCAAACGTTATAATATAAGTAATTTTAAATAAAAAGCAAACAAGAAAAATTTTAATTATTTGATATCGTTATGTCTAAAGATAAATCGAATCCAAAATATAAAATTTTGTGAAACCAAATTTTTAGTAAAATAAACAACCAATTAAATCAAACCTTTACTGGATCCAGATGTTGAACGGAGTCTGTTTACCTAATAGTATAAATTTTAATTAAATGTTGTCAAATAAGAACTTGGAATCTTAACTATAAAGGTATCTAGATTTTTATCTAGTTACACGTATTTCTTAAAATATAAAATCAAAATTTTTAAGATAAACTTTAAAAATAGATTAAGTTAGGATAAGGTTAGGGTTTAAGGTTTAGATGGTTTGAATAGGTTTGGAAGAGTTAGGAAAAGGAATTTTTTGTTATTGGAACACAAAAGATAGTTTCATAAATAACATTTCAGAACAGTGTATGTATCTGCGGTTTAATGTACAAATAGAAATTGTCAAAATCAACTACATAGCAAAAAAGCAAGTTATATTAATTTTATCATAAACATTATGCACAGCGATACATAGCATGGTTTTGTTGCGTTAGTTTGTTCCCTGTGTATGTATTAATTTATTATACGTATTTGCAGAACATCTATACTGACACTCGTTGACTTGAAAACCTGTATCATGCGCATTTATTTAACGTAAAGCATTCACTTAACAAAACCAATTTTTAATATATAGCGATAGTAATCTATTTTAATGCTAAATAAATCTATTAGAATTTGACCCTATTGCCTGTTGGGATGAAACATCTCAATAATTCAAATAGTCTCCAATAATTCTTAATAGGTTTTCATTTTGCTTCATCATTTATTACACTTTTCTTTTCGTAACTTATAGAGCTGAAACTATTAAGATCAATCGTATTAGTAGGATCTACAAGATCTTTTGAAACCATTGTTTTATTTTATAGCATAAAGTACGTAATCATGACTTTTTATATCTAACAATAACAATTTTTTTACCTTATATTTCAATATTTCAATTAATCTCTATTTATGCTTTTAATATGTATTTATAGTAAAATTTCAAGAAAATGCACTAAGTTTTATTCTATATGCTAGTAAATGTCTTATTCTTTTTGAGAGAATAAAGATCTTTTTCGATCTTTTTGTATAATAAAAACGGAATCTAAATATTATTGTTATATATTTGTTTTATTAATGTTATTAACAAATGTTCTTTAATTGATAAATATCTAAAAATAGAAAGTTATGTGTTTAAGGGATACTTTAGACAACTTCTATATTATATAATTTCGTTAAATTATTTACATCATATGTTCTCTTACGATAAGTTATATTCTTGTCGAGTAAGTCATATGTCGTCCCACGAAAATATGCTGCTACACGATTTCATCATATCAGTTTTAATTTTAGATTTGTGAGAGGGGGGGTTCATCGTTTAAAAATATTCCCAATTAAGATTCTATCCTTCTAAAATAAACAAGTCGAAAAAAGGTAGTTATGCGAATTTCTTTTATTTGTTTATCATCATTTTATAATAAATAATTCTATAACTAATTTAGTTTTTTTGAACTTTACTTTTTAGTAAGCGGAGATGAAAATGTATTGTTCTGGTTTTTATCTTTTAAGAAGTATTAATTGTTTAAAGTATTCACAATAACTGTGAAACAAAGTCTACCGAGTTTTGATCATTTGTTTTTTTTAATCATTCGTCACTGACTAATAATGTTTCATGTATGAAAATCGGAAATAGGAATTAATTGGTTCCAGTATGTGCATTTTCAGGTAACACTTAAAGCGCTTCCATTATTGGGAACACGAAAATATAAAGATCTTCATATTGATTTGCATAGAATTCCGGTAATTTTTGTTTTTTTTAAAAAAAAAAAAATTTAAAAAAACTTACCTCGCTGGATCGATGGTATCAATAGCTTAATCTATAATAATTGGCTGTGTATAAATTATTCACATCTATTTATAAAAGGAATAGTATCCACATAATTGTGGGAGCCTTTTTTATGACTTCTTTTTTTAGTTGACTTTAGAATGATTATTTAGTTAGTCCCTTCTAGATTAATTTAGTGGTTTATTTTTTATTTTATTTTTTATTTTTTGTTATTTGGCATTACTTTAAATATGAGTTCACCAACGCCAAAAGTAAATAATGTTAAAGTTTATCCATGGTCTCAAAAAAATTTAAACAAATTTAATCCTTTTCCACGTAATGGTCATTCTGTGAGTGATCATACGATAAATAATGAACTATTCTTTTTCGGTGGTTTTGTAAACGAAAAAGCTACAAATGAATTATTTGTTGTTGATGTTAGTAAGTACGCGAGAAAGCATTAATTTCACGTTTCTTTTTATATTTTCTCGTGATTTTAATTATTTAATCATTAATTCATCATCATTAATTTATCATTAATTATCGTTAATTTATCGTTAACTTATCATTATTGTGTAGATGATCTTAATATTACTCCAGTAACAACTGTTACTGGTGATATTCCTCGGCCTAGAAGTCATCATAGCCAGATTACTTTTGAAAACAAGATTTTGGGCAAGTTAAACTATATTAGATGTCTATGTTAATTATTTAATTTATTAATGTTAAATTTTCTTTTAGTATTTGGTGGTGGATCAGAAAGACCTGGGGATAAATTAGATGATCATATTTACATCTATGATACTGGTAATATTAATTTACAAATCCTTTATTCGTATAAAATAAATATATATCTAAAAAATTTATTATTATATACATATTAGAAACAAAACATTGGACTAAACGTTCTTTAAAGGGACACCCACCTAACGGTCTTATTGGTCATTCTGTTTCTTTAATTGGTTCCGTTGTTTATATATTTGGTGGTCAGAATGGCATAAAATATTTTAATGACATAGTAGCATTTGATATTAAAGTTCTAAAGTTACAACGTAAAAGAAGTAGATTGAGTAAATTTTCTTTAAATCGAGGTAAATATATTATTTTTTTTATTCATTAAATGTAATTAATTTTATTAATCTTTATGTTAATTAAATAGCTAGCGTTTCTGGCTCTCATTGGAACTATATTACGCCAAATAGAAGTGATCTTTCTGTTCCTTCATGCAGAAGTGGTCATACTGCTTGTGAATATAAAGAAAAAATTTATATGTATGTCATTTATGAAAAAATTTTTTTTTCCTAAAATTGTTTACTTATTACTTGTATCCCTCGTAGATTTGGCGGGTCAAATGGTGAAAAGTGTTTCAATGATACTTGGTGTTATGATACTTTGAGTGGTACTTGGTTAGAATTATCTTGTAGTGGTTATGTCCCCGTACCACGTGAAAGACATGGCGCGGCTCTTGTCGATGACGTCCTCTACATTTTTGGTGGAATAACTCAAGAAGGAGAAGTATTGGGTGATTTGATTGCGCTTAAACTCCCAAGTTAGTTTTTTTTTTTTTTTTTTACTTGTTACATATACATGTATGTATTTTTTTTTTATTCTTACACGTACATGTTGATTAATTTAGATCAAAGATGGTATAAATTTCCAAAAATGGGTCTTTCAGCTAGTCCTCGATATGACCCTTCTATGGTTGTAGTTGATCAAGACAAGGTTTTCATTTTTGGTGGTGAATCGGATGGAACTATAAGACCTGATGCTGATGGAAATATCCATATATTAGACACATGTGAGTTTAATTTATTTGCTTTATGCTATTATATATATTAGAGAACTTATCTGTATAATACTGTTTAATGTCATTTTTGTATTCAGCAAAAATAAAATTTCCATCAGATTCTCAAACTCCAAAACAACAAACAGTTCATCGTAAACAATTATCGGTTACACCACCTTTAAAATTGTCATCTCAACCAAAAGAACATTCTATCACTGAAGATGTAGAAGAAACCAGTTCATCTTTAAAATCATCAAGTACTTTAACACACTCAAAACGACCTTCATTAGTTGAATCTTCACCTGATGTAATACAAAGTCATTCTATTGCACCAAGGTCAACGAGTCTTGTTCCATCATCTTTACAAACAACTACTCAATTATTTTATGATGCCTCGGGTGAAACATTACCATCATCTAAAGTTGAATCAATGTCTCAAAAACAACCTCCTTTACCACAACCTACAACTGAAATTCCTGAGAAAAATCATTCTGTACAATTAAAGCAGCAATCTCTTGAAGTTACTCGTCCTTTACAACAAAAACTTGAGAGCCATCGTATACATCTTTCTCAACAACAGAGGCAATCTTATGATACTTTTGGAAAAGCTAAATCAAAAGGTCTCGGGATTACTGTTCCTGTAGAAAGTGATAATTCAAAACCTCAATTATTAGATGGAAATTTTTATCAACATCCTCCAGCTCTTCCAGTTGATTCTAATCGAAGTAATTATGAAATGATTACAATTAATAAATATGATTCTCCAAAACAATCTCCAAATATACATGAACTTAATCCTTTAGAAAGTGTTCCACTTTCTTTAACACCTTTATCATCATCTGATACAAAAAAACTATCTCGTTTTACCGAACAAATTCCTACAAATTCTTTAGAATCTGATTCTTATAAAGATAATTTATTTAAAGATTTTGATACTATTAATAATTCTGTTGAAAATTCAAAGACGAATAATATAGGAAATACTATGCTTGAAAGTGAAAAAAGTAATACTATAGAAAACAATCCATTATATGTTAGTCATGAAAAAGAAAATTCTCAATCTTCTACTCAATTGTTTATACCTAATAATGAGACAAGTACTCAATCACAAGATAATGTTTATGTTATTCGTGAAAGGAAAGATAAACGTCCAAATGGTGCTAGACCTCTTGTTCAAAAACAATACGTACAAACTAATATTGAAAGTTCTACCATGCAAAACAATATTGAAATTCAAAATACGAAATATTTAAATGGTAGTAATTCTCCTATCTCGGATCATATCGATAGTTCTGAAGAGATCAATGAAGATCGTAATACATCACCATTACAAGAAGATCATCCTGATATTCCAACTTCTTCAACTTTTGATATAAATAATATTGTATCTTCAAAATTAATGCTTGATAATACATTGCAAGAAGAACAACAACGTATGAATATAACTCCATCAAATTCTGATATATCAAATATTATACCTTCAAATTTATCTGATAATGAAATCTCTATGCCTTTACCAACTCCTACTACTGGTTCCACTTACGTATCTCCTGAAAATGATAATCTTGACCCTCAAACTTCTGGTGATGAACAAGATACTTATTTTAAAGGAGCTATACAACATGATCCAAATGTTAATGAATTTGAACAACGTGAACAATGGTTCAATAATGAATTAAATTCTGCAAAAAACTTTGGATATAATTTAAATTTAGATGACGATGAAAATATCATGTCTGATGAATTAGATTTTGAACAATTATCTAAACTTTTGGATCCAAAAAGTGAAAAATTTAAAATTATGCAATCTATTTCTCATATGCAACAAAAGTTGAAAAAGGCAAAGGTTAGTTGATTAATTCATTATGTATTTTTAAAATTTCCGAAAAAAAAAACTTTTTTTGAATTTTTTTTTTTTACTATTTATATAATATATATCATGTTCGATTCATTTATTAATATGATTTATTACTTTTTTTTTATATATATATCAGGAAAATATATCTAACCAAGCCTTAATTGCATCGCAAAAAATTGCAGCAGCAGAACAAGCCCATGAAGCAGCCATTAAAGAAGCAGCTTATTATAAAAGTAAGATAGAAGATTTGGTAAATAGTTTAGATCCAAAGTATCGAACATCAGAAGTTGAAAGAACTATGAAACTTGAGAAACAATTAACACAAGTTTTAAAAGAAAATATTCAACTTCAAAATCAATATGAAGAATATTATCACAAATCAATTAATGAAAATTCATTTCAAGAATCTATTAATTCAAACGTAAATTTTGAGGATAATAATAATTATACAATTACTAAAAATCCTCAAAATCCAATTTCAAAAAAATTGGCCGATCTTAGAGCTCGTATAATTTCAACTGAAACTCAACTTGATGAAAGTAATTTACAATTAAAACAAGCTAGTGGTGAGATAACAAAATATCAACAAGATGCTGAAAATTCAAGAATGCGGTTTTCTCAATTACATGAATCACTTGAACAACATTATACAATATTTGAACAAATCAATAATGCAATTACGACAACAAATGAAAGGACCAATGAATTAGAAAATTTATTGAGAAAAAGTAAGAAAGAGAAAACAAAGTTGGAAAGTAAAGTGGCTGCCCTAAGGATTGATTTGGAAATTAAAGAAGAAGAATTGAATCAAGAATCTGAACGTGGTGATAAAATTGAAAAGTTATTAGAAAATGAACAAAAAGAAGGAAAGATTTTGAGATCAATGTTGCAAGAAAGTATGAAAGAATTGTTAAATATTTCGTTATGGAGATGATAAAAAAAAAAAAAACCCCCCACCAAATTATAAAGGTATAATATAATGAACTTTTTTGTGTAAACTTTTTGGGTCAAGGGATGCGTTTTATTGTAAATTATCTGTTTTATTATATTCTGTTTTTTTTTTTTTTTTTTTTAATCGGTAGATTGTATGATTTAAAAAAAGAAAGGCAAATATATATATGTATGACATTTGTAGATATAGTTATTATATATTATTTATATTCAAATAACCTATTCATATATCTAAATTTATATTATATATAGTGGCGTTTTATGTATTATCTATCTTATTTTCTTGAATAAAAGAATTATCACAAATATTTATTCCATAATGTCCTTTTTTTTTTTTAATAACATACAATATTCTGGTTTAGGTCAGCTTTTAGTGTAATAGATGGTTTTGTAATTTTATTTCTGTATTTTCGGATTTTTTTTTTTGTAAATTACATAATAAAGCGCAAATATCCCGAGATTTTATTTTTAATGTATATAAGTTATGATTTTTACTTAATTGACAATTCACGAAAGGAGAATTTGTATTAATAAAATCTATAACGTTATATATAAAATATAGAAATCAGCATTCCTGACTATTTGAAGTTAAATTTTTATTAATCTAACATCTTTTGGTCATCTAATGAAAGTTGTAGAGCTAGTTTTTGCGATTCTAATGATAGTAAGATCGGTAAAATTAGTTAAATATGTAGAAAGTTACAAGTAGTTTAAGTTTAATTTTTTCTATGAACTATAGGAATCGTGATTCCTGTATTAATATATTTTAATATATTTTATTATAAAAATCTTCCCCGGTTTTTATTCTCTTTCTATCGTGAATTGTCAATTAATTATATTAAGTTGAAATTCAATATATTCAATAAAAAAACCGTAGAAACATATTGTTAAACCCTGTAATTTAACATCATGTGATATTAAACAGTAATTCTGTAATGTCAAATATAGCAGAGTTAGTAGATACCATACCGATATGCATTAATGTTAAGACAGGTTTGACTGTATGGAAATTGTACACATTATAATGAATATAATGCTTATAAAGCATCGTGTCAGACATATAATTTTGATAAGGATGGGATAAGGAATTGTATAAAAAAGCTCTAATATAGCTCTAATATAGGACTCATTATATGGGTGAAATTTGTTTATAGAAATACTGTAATCATTAAAAATTAAGTGACACATACAATATGATTTAGTTTTTGCCAAAAAAAATTTAAAATGACAAAAATATTAAAAGACAACAAAACTGAAAAGGGTAATAAAATTGATAAAAGATAAGAAAACTAGTAAAATAAAAAGATAATTAAAGGAAAACTCTTTCTCAAAAATCTCAATTTTATAGCAAAATTGAGAAAACAAAAAAATTTTTGAAAAAGTTGAACTAAAACAGACTTTACTAATTAACTAAATACTAACATCAACAAATAGCATAACATAAATTTCAACAGAATTAAATGAAGTCACAAAAAAGTTTTCTGTACTTTAGTCACTTTTTTATCTTTATTGCTAACTAAGTCAGCAACTAAAACTTGTAACAGCAAAGCTAATAATAAGTTCTCAGAAAGATATTCCAAACAGTATATATAAATGTGATTTATTCAAGAAACTATGAATAAATAAAACAATAAAAAGAAGTGTAAAACTAACAGAAAATTGTTATCCTTATACAAATGAGCAATAGGAAAATACTACAAAAAAAAATTAAAAAAAATAAAGATTTCAGTATATTTTCAAAAAATTCAGCTATAACATTATTATATATAACAATAACAATTACAATTTCAAATATTCTTACAGATAATCAAACTGAAATACTATAGATATTGTCTTCTTCTGTTAATGCAAATAGAAGAAACAAATAATTCAACCTTATTTAATCAAATGCCTTAATCAACCTGAATGTCTGCATCTTAGAACAATAATCCAATATGAAAATAAAATACACATTAACAAATATAAAGGATGACAATAATGAAGAAACTTGATCAACTAATATAATACTTGAAGAACAGTCATAAAAAAAAATATCATATAGTCAAGCATTAGTTAAAAATCTTTTAAAGAGAACTAAAAGAACTTCAAATCCTTATTTCAAAGCTAATAAAAAAAAAAAATAAAAAAAACATATATAGACAGTATTAGAAAAAATCAAATAAAAAAAACTAAAATTATTCGATGCAACAATTTGGATACAACAAAAAACCAAGGATATATTAATCTTATTTCAAAACTTAAAAGAGTTAATTAGATACAAATTGTTAACAAAACTAATTATTATCTATATTCTAATAACAATAAAAGCAAAATTCTTTTATAGAGACACAGCCTTCTTTCAAAGCTTTATTTGAGTTTTAGCAATCAGATTACAACACCAAACTGAATTCAACAGTCTATTTTTTAATGTCTTGAATATATATAAAAAATAACATAATATATTAGTTACTAATAAAAGAAACCAAGACCAAATTTTCAAATTATTGTGCACAAAGCTGGCATTAGATTATCTAGCCAACCTAAATTTCAATCTTTTAGATGCTTGAAAAATCACAAAATATATTTTCTACTTAATTAACTTTACAAAAATTCAATAAAACTTAGATTTTGAAACAATAAGAAAGACAGTCTTAGAACTTATGAATAAAATACTAATTCTTTTACCTAATAAACTAGAACTTATTTCAGACCATCTGTCTTAAGCTGTCCCTTTTGATTTATCTATTACAAGCTAATAGGTCTTCACACTAGTAGTTAGAATATTGTGGTTAATATTTTTTTTTAACAAATTGTCAGATGAATATATTGCAGACAATCAAAAAATCTTACAAACTTTATACAAAGATTTAAAAAATGAAGTACAGCATATCTTCTCTATTATAGACAGAGTTGAGCTAAAAAAGTTAGTCTATTATAGAGAAATCTTACAAAAATACTATATTTTTTGGCAAATTCTTGCTAAATACTTTAATTTAATCAGTACCAAAATACTCTTTGCCTTTCATTCCACAAGACTTAACATTCAGATTAAGAGAAAAATTTTCTTTTTTATCTGAAAGTCAAGATGATTTTAAGGAACATGTCAAATTATTATGTATGGACTATTCCTTTACTAGACTATCTAATGATTATATTATTTTCTGAAGATAACTACCTTTAAATCTAACAAATCTAAAAATATCTAATTTTATATTTCCATTACAGAGCACAGAAGAAGTGAATGCTTTTATCAAAAGTGTTCTACAAATTTACAATATTCTATCATTACTATCACAAGCTTATTGCAATTTCAATTATACAGATCTTCTAAATCTGCCTAAGAATGCCAATTTAGTCATTCTGATTAACCTAACTCTATCATTTTCAACCTTCAAAGAGCTAAGTATAGCAGCTTTAGCAATATGAGAGTACTATTATTTTCATATTATATCTCAGTCTTGGATTCAGATAGAAAGAAAACAAAAAAGCAACTAGAAATTAAATCAACCTTATCTAAACTACTAACAATTGAACAACTTTAGTTGGCTCTTGAACAAAACCAAATTACAAATATATACATTTTAGTATAAAAACATTATAATATTCAATTAGTTATAGAAACTCTTAGAAAACATTTTGCCTATCACTCATTACCAGACTATATCTTTGACCTTATAGACTTACTAAAACTATTCTTTAAAATTTTTAATTTACCAAAACAAATAACAACTGCATGAATGCAAATGTCTAATATAGAAGAAGATAACAATATAGATTACTAATAAGCACAAGCTCTTGTATAAACAATCTGTCTTCAGCAAATAATAAGAATAAAACAAAAAAATTAAACTAAATTTAAATAAAAAAATCAACATAATTATACACAACATCAAAGGCATCAATAACATACTAAAAATGCAAAACTGGATTGAATACTGTATAGAATCAGACTTATATATAATCTCAATTACCAAAACCAAACTAAAAAACTTAGCAACAAAATCTCATACTAATTCTTTTTACAAGATATATATATCTAACTTCTTACTATATAATTCAAACCAAAGAGAAGCTAGTTTGGGAATAGTTTTGATGGTTTGCAACCAACTACAGTCCTATATTTATAATATTAACATTTTACTCAGTATTACAATTTGCATTAACTTTTTCTTTTTAAACAACAACAAGTCTCATATTATTTCTACATATCTTCTTTTAAACTATTCTTCACTACTAAAGCATACATAATCTAAAATTTGTTCCTAGGCTGCTAAGACCAGATTTTGAAACTGGCATTTGATTATTATAAAAAACTTTAATGCAAATTAGCATAAAAACAAACAACTTTTAATCTTTACTAATCTAAATACTATTAACTTAACTAGTTTATTAGACTTTTATAATATACAAACACCTACTTAGCATAATCCTAATTCAACTAGTCAAATAGATAATTTTTGAATTTTTTCAAATATACTTTTAGTCTTTAATCTATCAATAATAATTAATGCAACCTAGATAACAAACAGTGATAATTGCATACTAAACACAACATAGCATACTAATTTCTATTTGCCAAAAACTTCCAGAAACAAAAAAAAAAGAAAAATATATCTATATGAAAAAACTATAGCAAACATATAGAATAAATTTGCAAACTTAGTAAACACATCATTTAGTTTTAGAGAACCTCTTTGCCAAATATGAATAAAAATAATATTAATAGAACATGAAATTATTGGGCATCAAAAAAAAAAGAAGCAATGAATAAACACATTCTTATATATTTACAGCTTACAGCCTTTTCTTGCTATGTCACTAAAAGCAATTCAACTTTATTTAACTCTAAAAAATATTAACAAATGCCTGCAACAACTATTAAATAGAATGATAGACACAATAGTTCAGGCCAGTTATTACTTAACAAAAGCAGCCACCTTAGCAAAAATTAGCATTGCTCCTATTACTTAAGAGAAATTTGCCCATTCATAGCTAAACACTATA